CCTGTTCATCTCTCGCGTGCTCTTCTGTGAGTTCTCAGTATCTTCTTGCATGCAAGTGTCAATCTGGCTTTCCTCCATAGCTACCGTCTCGAAGATCGTCAGTGGGGCTTCCATTGTTACCTGCTTCTTGAGCACATTGACAACGTTCACCCCTTCCACAAAGTGAGGGATTTTGAAAGACACATCTGTGGCGATCTGCTTTCTTGTGCTTTTGCCACATATCTGGTTGCGATGAGTGGTCGGATGTTTCTCAGGGTTCTTCGGGCTACTATGGCCGACTCAGTCACCATTGGAGCTTTGCCACATGCTATATGTGTGATAGTGATAAATTTTGAAGTGTATTCTTTGTTCCATTTCTTCAGCTTCTCTGTTTGTGACAATACTACTGCCGCTTATTTCTCCAGGAGGTTGCGTTCTGATTTCTCCTCCATTTTTGTCTGTTCCTTGTTCAGATCCTTTTTTTTCTTATTCTTGCTTACTTTTCTCGTCTTGGGTCGCAAATCTTGAAAGTTGTCTTTTGTTGTGGGGATGGTTTTGTCCTTATCCTTTGTCCCTTGGTCTCTTGCCCTTTTCTTTTCTGCGTATCTAAAGGCCGCATACTCAGAAAATTCTTCTGTGTTTTCCTTTCTAAGCATTTCAAACTGGTTGGAGGAGTTGTTGATCCCTGCAATGGTACCTTTCTTTCCATTCACCTGGGCCCTCTCTGCATGTTTCAGGCAGGCTACACGGATATTGAAAGCGTGCTCTCGTTCCCTCTTTGCCTTTTCTACATACTCTCTGAGCCAGGTCAGGGATCGCCGGGATCGATCGTCCTCCTCTATAGAGGCAGCATCTGTTGTGTTGTTCTTTCCTTTTGTTTCCCCGTCTGCTTCACCTCCCGACATATCTGAATCCACTGCATCTTCCCCTTTCGTGGTTCCCATCATTTCCACTTTCTTTCCCTTCCCAAATTCTTCTGCCCTTCTTCTCTTTGGGCCCGCTTCCTTCTCCAACTGGCTGCAAACACCGTGTAGTGACCGTTTATTCTCCATTTGTGCCTTATCCCTTTTTGTGTATGTGTGCAGTTCGACTTGTTTAAGTGCTTCCCTGAATGTCACCGAGTCTTTGTTGTACTCTTGCTCAATTTGTTCTCTTATGGTGTCCAGATCACACAGTAGATCTTCCCTTGCCTTCTCTTCCCTGATTACCCATGAATCTGTGAGGGGGTTGGTATTAATCTTTGTTGGGTTCCCTTTCACTTTCCCGGTTGCCTTCTTCTGCCATCTGCTGTCCGGGGGGGGGGGAAATGTCTGTTTTTTTGACAGACGGTGTCTGGTCTGCAAAATGCCACACCCAATCTGGTTCGTCTAAATTATCATCAAATACCCATCCATCATAGCAGGGGTCAGCCACAAACCATATGTCGGGCTTATCTTCCACTTCTACCAACATGTTCGGTAGTAGCTTCCGTTCTTTTGCTTGTTTCGGGAACCTGGGGCAGGTAGGATCAGTTCCCAAGTGACCTCGTTCTCTGCAACGAAAACAGATCGGCGAGGCCCTGGTTGATATCCTTACCTCGACCACTCTGCTTTCTATCTGGAATTTCCAAACTGATGGAAACACTGGGGGGTCATCTGTTTGTACGTCCAGGATCGTGGTCATGGTTCCACAGTGAGGGGCCAGGAACTCCGGCATCGGTAGAATCCATTTGAGGACTTTATTCGCAGTGTACTGCCTTTTGAGTCTGTCGACCAATAAGCCATGGAATCCGGGTTGAATGTTATCAAATTGAACCCAGAAGTTCTCTTTCAGCAAGGTCTGTTTGTATGACATTGCAAAGACTGGGTTTTGTCTTTGCTACTTTATTACCTTTAATTCTTTTTTATACTTCATATCAAACTGAGGACGAAGCTATGACTTTGTTCATGGGATATCTACTCTTGTTTTTTTTTTGCTATCCTATTCTTGTATCAATTACTTTACGAAACCTAATAAGTCGATAATATGATAACACATATCAACATTTATCTACTGATACCTTCTTCCATTTGGTGATGGTACACACTGAACCATGACAGTTTCTGGATTGCATTTCAGCCGCGATTCGTGCGTGATTTTTGTGAATGAAGACTACCATAATGTTGTTGCGGCCCAAATTTTGCAGTGTTTAAGTGTCTCCAATCTGCTTAAGTTTTGGTTCCTTTTTGATAGTTTCGATTATCCACTTCCCCTTTTCTGCTGGCTGGAGATCTGCCCCATGGCGTGTAAAATTGAAGACTACCCCATGTCTTTCGTGCATATCATCCAGTTCAACAATCTTTTCTTCCGGGTATTTCCAGATAACCACCTCCTCTTCCTCTCTGTCCACTATCTGTTTTCCCGTGGATTCGATCCCTTGGACTTTTGTCTTCTCAATTAGGAATTTGAGGGCTTCGTTGTCAATGACATTGACAGTGCTTTCCGGTGCCTCTTGGTTTGTGGGGGCCATGGTTGGCGTTGGGGTAGCCATCTTCCTCTTTTCAGTGGTTTCGACCCTGTCTCGTTCGAATGTTGCTGTCTAGTCCGTCACGCCCTTATGGAAGGTGCGAGGGGAAGGGAAGAGGGGAGAAAAGGAAAAAAGGGGGTGGGGGGGGAGAGGGTTAGGAGAAGGAGAAGGTCAATAGAGGTACGACACAGTGCGCCGGTTATAGAACAACGTCAGGCCGGGGGTAGTTGGGTGTGCAGCAGTAAACCAGATCCAAAAATGAGGGCTTTTCGGTCGGTATGGGGGGGGAGAAGTGGCCCGGAGGGACTATAGTGGTGGCCGGAAGGAATTGGAGGTAGATGTGGTGATGTGTATGGCAGACAGTAAAGGGGGGGGAGGAGGTGAGAGTGGTAGGCGGGAGGGGAGATGAATATTCGACGTTGGAGTCTGGAGGGGCGCTTAGAGATGAGTAACGAGACAGGGAGGTGGGGAATAGCGTCAGTGACGAGGGATCGAGACGGTAAAGAATGGGGTGGGGTCAGGGACGACGATAACGAGATGGAACGAGGAGAGAGTAAGGGCTGGGAGGGTGGAAGGGTGGATGGAAGAGCTTGTTCGATGACTTCTAAACAGCCGTCTAGTGGCGATCGATGGGGAGGGGATTCGAAGAGAGGGTGGGTAGGTGGGGCGGTGAGTGGATGGTTAGCGATACGGGAGTAAGGATAAGAAGGGATGGTTATCTGTGTGTGTGTGGGTGTGGAGTGGGGGGAGAGAGAGGGGGGGGGTAGAGTGGATCAGGAGGGAAGCAGATTAACGAGACGGGGAGGCGGGGGATAGTGTCAAAAATGAGGGATCGACAGTAATGAAATGGAGTTGGATCGGGAATCGGTAGCGAGCGGGATAGACAAGGATGGGGTTGGACGGGAGGTGGGAGGATCGAGAGTGGGGAAAGGGTAAGATGGGAAGGCCGACTGGGAGTGGTTATCTGCTGGTGGCGGTCGATGGAGGATTCGATGGGTCGGTGAATGGTTGACTAGCAATACGGGAGTAAGGATAAGGAGGGATGAGTATGTGTGTGTATGAGTGTGGCGAGGGGGGGGAGAAGGGGGGGAGGGAGAGTTGAGTGAATCGGGAAGGGAGGTAACTCGCGGGTTAAAGAAGAATCGAAGGTCTGCGCGAGTGTTGCTGGTCATGAAAGCAGGTCCGGTAGTTCCCACCTTAAATGATTCAAAAGGACGGCAATCTGGGCCGCCGATCTCTCGAGATCGGCGGTTCAGTTCAGCCGCGCTTTTGAATTGTTTAGGGCGGGCCACAGTTCAGCCGCGTTTTTGAATTGTTTAGGGAGGGCCTACTTGACCCGGTTTCGATGTTTTTTGACCTTGCGGACGTCGTGGGGGGGCGAAAAGGCCCCAGGCGTCGAAAAAAGCCCCAAAATCCCCCCCACCTGTGATGCGCTAGGATCGCCTGGTGGCCAACCGGGTGGCACAATCGGCCAGGCGGCCCGGGCTGTCCCCCAGGCGATGTCCAGGTCGCCAAGCGTCCGGGGAACCAGCCTATATTTTATTATTTTTTTTAAACATTTTTCCTGGAAAGCTCACGAGCAAATCTACGGAACCTCTAATTTTTAGACTCTTTGACGCATTCTTTGGAGCGGAAAAATCGCAGAAGTTGGAGTACTTTTCCCGTTGGCCCACAAATGGCACAGTGGCAAAACTGGAACATGCACCGAATCGGCGCGGCGGTTGTTTCACGGTCAAAATGATTTTATTTATTTATTTTTTTTTTCTGACATTTTTCCTGGAAAGATCACGACCTAATCTACCAATGCTCAAATTTTCAGAATTTTCTGTGAATTCTTCTGAGCGTGAAAAATCGCCGAAGTTGCCGCGTTGAAATTTCAGGACTGGGCCTGCCGTTTCGGCCTCCGGTCGCCGCCCTCCCTCAAAACCCGCCCGAGCTCATCGGGAGGGCTATTTCCTGGTGGCGGAGGGAGTGGTGGTTTAAACCACCAGTATTTGGCCCAGCTATCGGCCGTGGAAAAAAATAGAGTAGAAACGTTTCCAGTCGGATTAATTTGGTTGCTTCTGTAGTGACCTGTACATTTCCCAAAAAATGTGGCTTGTTAACGGGCACGACTTTAGGAAGTACTGGTGGTTTAATGCGTCATGTCCTTTGGGGGCTGGCCTACCAGACGAAAATGGCTGGCGGCACCCGGCAAAAAATGGAAAAGAATGCGCCTGCGCCCCACCTTTTTTTATCGGCATGCGGAAGAAATACTCGTCGTGAAAAAGAGGCTCAGAGATACTGGTCATTTGAGTCTGAAGATGGACTTTTTTTTTCAGGCAAGATAAAGGCAGTAAACTTGAGTAGAGATATTTGTGATTGAATTTCAAATTCCGAAGACTTTAAAATTTCAAGCCTTGAAATTCAAAGTTTAAGCTTGAAAGTCCAAGCCTTAAAGTTATGAGCTGCGGGGCCGTGCGGGCCAACTCCAGAGTCCATACGAAGTGGAGCAAAGTGATGATGTTGGCTCGTTGGCTTTTCAATTTGCGTATAGGCCAAGATTGATGCGATATCGGGAAGCAAGAAGGCAATAACGGTTTTTTCCAGTTCAAAGTACCCAGCATCATCACCGGGTGCTAGGGACTATGTCCCATTCCTTGTGGGACGAGGAGCAAATGGCCGCAACGAGGGAGTATGGAGAGAACAGTTGGCGGCCACGGAGCTCAGATCTCCTCACATGTTCATGCACGAAATGGAGGTGGGTATTCTTTCTTTCTTGTTTTTTTTTTTTTTTTTTTTTTTTTTGAAATATGGATCCATTCTCGATGTATGCGTGTCGTCCTTGCACAGGGGCCATGCTAATCTTCATTCTCTGTATCGTTCCAATTTCAACGGTTGTCGTGAAGGACATATGGAGGTGGGTATTCATCCCTTTGTGTTTTCAATTTTTGGTCAAATAAAGTTTAAATAATACTTTTGGACTCTGGAGTCTGGACCTTCTTTGCCCCCCCTTCTTTTTTTTGCTTTGTCCACTCCACAGGGGCCAGATCGATTCTCCGTGTCTCCTCTGCCTCCCCATCGGTTCCTTTCTCGACTGCCATCATCATTCCATCATGATTATGTGTGGGTTAAATGCACCTTTTTGGGAAAACTTGTGACTTCCCCCGAGAATTTGTGATAATTTGTGCAATGCCCCTGGAATTTGTGGTATGTGCAGTGCGTGTATCTGTCACTTTTCGGCATGCCCCTGTCAGGCGGGCACACTACGCGGTATTCCCCCTTGGAATTTATGGTATTTGCAGCGCGGATATCTGTCATTTTTTGGCATGCCCCTCCTGTCAGGCGCTCATTTTTTGGCATGCCCCTCCTTTTCAGGCGGTCACTTTTCGGCATGCCCCTCCTGTCAGGCGGTCACTTTTCGGCATGCCCCTCCTGTCAGGCGGTCACTTTTCGGCATGCCCCTGTCAGGCGGTCACTTTTCGGCATGCCCCTCCTGTCAGGCGGTCACTTTTCGGCATGCCCCTCCTGTCAGGCGGTCACTTTTCGGCATGCCCCTCCTGTCAGGCGGTCGCTTTTCGGCATGCCCCTGTCAGGCAGTCACTTTTTGGCATGCCCCTGTCAGGCGGTCACTTTTCGACATGCCCCTGTCAGTTTCGAGGCTATGCCCGCTTAGCCCCTACGGGCCTTATTTGCAGCAAGGTCGGCCGCCCTAAGTGAAGGCAGGCACGACAGGCCCTCAGGGCCTCGTTTTCAGGATACCCCCACAAATGGGGAAATTCAGGCAGTTGCACAGCATCAGTTGGTTGAATGAACTCAGGCCCTGGGCCGCCYGTGTGAATGAATGTAAAGCAGGCCCTGGGCTGGGTACGGGTACCGGGCCAAGCACAGGCCGAAAGCAGTTGGGCACATGCAACTACTTCAGGCCCAACACCTGCATTCCTCGTGACTGGGCCTCAGGCTACCGGGGCCTACTGGAAGCTTCTTGGACTGGACGCAGGCAGGCCACTGGGATATAGGAAAGGGCCTGCCTCCTCATTTGACATTCGGGTGCTGGCTGCATGCGGCGACAGCGCTGCTGCGCTATTTGCTGGCTGGCGCCCTCGCACTCACGGGCGAGTGTGAAAGAAGCAGGCAGCCATAGCCACGCTGCCTGCTGTAAGCTGGGTTGTGCGCAGGTTGGTCCTTGGGTGCTAGAGGCATCTGTGCGGTGAGGATCGGGGTTGAGAGCGAAGCGAGAGTCATACCTGGTGCTTGAGGCGAGCGGCATTGGCTGCATATGCTCGTACTTCGGTGAAGCTGTTGATGTCAACTTCGGCATTGTAGTAGTAGGCTAGATAGGATCTGCCATCTTGTAGTGTGGGCGCCGAGCGCCAATAGTAGGATACCAACTCTTGTTCTTTGTTGATGATGATGAGAGACAACTTCAGCATTGTCAATTATGAACTATTGCTGTGTTCTTATTTGGTATAACTCGTGATGCCATTCTGCTTATGGTTC